ACAGATTTCTCTTAATTTATTGAATAAATAGGAATAGTGAGTGGTGTTAACTAAATACACTGATGAGATTTCTTCCCCCAATGGGATTATATACAGTTGCACCAGTGAATGCAAAACTGTTTCATTTAAAAAAAAAATTGCTAGATTACATATATTTCATATATTAGCTGACAAGTATTTTTTACACTACTGTGAAATACTTTATTTTAGCTGGAATTAATTTTCGCTGAATAGACTTTTTGGGTGTTTTGTATGGAATTTATTTTCACTGATTTTGATGAGTTCAGTGTAAAATATAAGAAAAAAGGTCTATTCACTGAATTTTATTTTCACTGAATCCTTCACCAAAAATAGTGAAAATCAATTCCAAGCGAAAATTAAGTATTCTAAGTACCGGTATATTGTATTATTTTTCAAACCACTTACATACAATTGTTATCCCTTGAGTTATCAGAGGCCTGCTGTTACCAGTAAGAGCAGCATTTGTGGTCATGTGACTGTGATTATGATATCCATCTACTGTGTCCTGGACAATTTTAGGTTGGCTGTCATTGAATGAATCTAATTATGCATAAAATCAATCAATAGTTTCACGACTTTGCTTATCAATTGAGCGCTAAATTCTTCCATTTAACGGGTCTTAGGTCTTTATGTATAATTGTGTGTTCATAAAAGAATGATGCTAGGCTTTATGTGTGACAATTATTGCTCACATAAAGAAAAACTACCATTATCATAATTTTACTAATACTGAAGCCCAAGCCCTGGTGTATATTGTTCAATGTATTCCTAGATAAACTACATGTATATTTGTTGACTGTTATTAAGCGTACCAAAATATGTTTTTATGCTTACCTCATCAGATTTCAATGAAATTTTGTGCACTGGGTGATATGGGGATAACTGAGTGACCAAAATAGTTCTTTCTTTTAATCTATGCATATTAATTATCTAATTTGTCTAATAATATTACCTCAAATTTATATTCAATGGATGTTCTCATTAGACTATAAAGGAATTCATTAGAGACTGGGATTTATGTGATGTGTGATTTTTAACATCAAATCTTTGCAAAGTAATTAGTAAACACTGTTTTTTTATAGAAATATATTTATTATGAACTACTTGTAGCTAATATGCTAATTTAAGTTATCAAACTAATAAAAGTTAAATATTTTATTTTACCTTCAACAAGCTAATTTTCACCTTTGTAATATCTAGTAAATGAATTAATTGTATTTAGAATTCAATTTAACCCTATTAGAATAGTAGTATATATTCGTCCATTACAAAATAGTCGAGCCAATATAGTTTCAAAATGTTATAGCAGATTGATGATTCTTGATAATATTGAGGTCAGTACATGGTAAAATATTTGCCATCTCTAGATTTCTCCATTTTGTAAAATCTTGATGACAAAAATTGGATTTATTGATAATCATCTAATTTGATCTTTATCTTGTGTCTTGTTGTAATGAGTTTGTTATTACCGGCTCACAATTGATGTGTATGTGTCATCTCTGAAAGTCACAAATACTGATACTTTTTGGCATATTGATGCTCTATAAAAATACTTTCACCTGGAACTATTTTCCTATATTTTACATCAAAAATCAGTGAAAATAAACTTCATACAAAACTGTCAAAGTGTTATTTTCAATGAAAAATAAAATATTTTACACTACTTCAATTTTTGCCATGTACTGTTTTTGAATTTTTATGATTACTGCTTTGGGGAAAATAATTGAAAAATTCTCATTTGACCTTGGTGGACTTTGTATTTTGGATTCCATCCCTGCAAATCATAATGGGATATCCATATGCACATCAATTTGTTTGGTTGACGTGTGGCTGACTGTCAGCCATTTTGTCCCAAATTACATCTAAACTGTTTCTCGGGCATACCTGGACTGATTTCATTGTGCCATTGACATTGGTATTTTTTATGTAAGTCAATTGGTTCACAATTTGATGCATTATTTTTGTTATAAGTGATACACTTTCACAGATTTGTTTAATTTTGGTACAAACACAAGTCTTAATTGGTTGCATGAATTGGTTTAGTTTTTTAAATAGTGAAATTACATACATACTGTGCCAAGTAAATTTGTCTTTCTCCCATTCTGCCCAATCACTGTCAAAATTCAGTAGCACGTACACCTCCCTAAACTGCCAGTCAGTTGATAAATATTAATTAGTAAGTGCATTTTTGTACCCTATTTGCATTTTAATTGTGAATCATTCCTTTTATGGGCATGCCGGTAATGACTTCCCTGTTTAGGTCATAAGAGATTATTTTTAAAAAAGTACCAACATAGACTCTGTCATTTTCAATGACTTGATAGTGAATTAATTGTACTTTCAGAGAGTACCAGAATGTGTGATCTTTCGGAGATCATGCATGAGTACTATTGCCCACTCGGTCTGTATGGCATTGCGTTTCTTCCCAATAATCAAACACAGGTAGAGATGTCACTTCATTCTCAATTTAAAGGTTAACATGGTAGTGCTTATTAAGCCATTAATTGGCATCACATCTCATGGGATTTAATTATTATCTATGAGTGTTCAATAGTTACAGTGTATGTGAACTGTGTGAAAATGTGACTGATCAGTTTATTCAATGTCTATAATATAAATGGTGCAACAGTAATGTAATACTGATTTATCACTGAGTAAAGGATTCAAATCACAAAAAATTTGTGTCTCTTACTTTTAAATCACAAATTTTGATTAGCTCCACTGTCGACTTTGTCGAGCGGAGCTTATCATATGAGTGATTGTCCGTCGTCATCTGTGGCAATGTTTTACTTTTTCGACTTGAAAACTACTAGCCTGAATGCTTTGATACTTGGTGTATATGTACCTTGGGTAGACCTCTCTTAGGTTTGTTCATTTCATGTTGATATCTTCAATTCTCTAATTTTGGTGTTTTGTTAAAAACCTCAAGTCTAATTGCTTTGATATTATATATATAAGTACTACATGTGGACTCTCTTTCAGATTTGTTAATTTCGTGGTGATATTTTCAATTAGCTAATTTTGATGAGTATTTTTGTCATTGTTGGTGAAAAGTGATATTTTTGACTTCTTGTTGAAAACAGCAAGTCCCATTGCTTTGATACTATACATATTGTTTATTTTCTAATGACATCTTCTGTTCTTTAATTGAAATGTGCCTTGCTAACAGCAGAGCTATCTCGGCCGACCTGCTGCTTGTTTTGAATATACATTCTGTAAATATCAGATACTGTTTTCATATTTGTTTATTTAATATTTATAATAAATGCAAATTAATTATCCTCATTGAGACATGTTCTTGAAAATTATTATTATAGTTTTTTGGTATTCAATGTTGAGATACAACCTTGGCATTTACATTAAATAATTGATTAAATAGCAAAGAGGTCAGTAAGTTATTATGAATGGAACATTTCATATTAACTCCATTAAAGGAAATATTGATTGCTATTTTCAGCAAGTCAGAATATATTATCATAAAGGTATTGAAAATTTAAATATTAAAATGCACTAATAACGTTCATTATTTCATATTCTATTGCCAAAATTTCTAATCAGAATTGGATGGAACAGTCAAACAGAAGTAATATAGACAGCAGTAAATGCACTCTGCTTAACAATTTGTTTTGCCTAAGGTCTGCAAAACACATATTTACTGTTGAAGCTCATTATAATACGTCTGATTTATTTTCTGATATGATCCAGGTTTTTGAATAGTTCAATTTATGAAAGATAATCACTTCATTATTTCAGTGCTTTATTGCATCTCAATATGAATAAATTGAATTTTTATTTCTAAGGGATTGGAGAAATACTTCACTCCAGATGCTACTAGATTATTCTTACTTCTGAATCACTTTGGAGACTGTCAGTATGAATTTGAAATTCTTGTGATATTTATATATCATAATAGTCATTAATATTTCAATATACAGTATACTTTATATTCAGATATATGAAGGATATATTTTTTATTACTGATAATAATAGAATGCCATGTCCTCGACTTGAGGTTTGTGGGATATGGAAATTATTTTCATGAGTGATTTGGATATCCTGCAGCAATATTTTCGCAAACAGAGTGAGTGAAAATACAGCATGTATGCACCACATTACATATCTAATAGTATGACAGATAGTATATTTGTTAGTATTTTCACAAGTTATGCTGTAAGTGTAAAAAGTGAAAATAAAGCAATGGATTCACTGCAACACTTTCAAAATATAATTTGTTAGTGAGTATCTTTGAGTATTTTTAAATTATTAATGTTTGAGAAGATTACAGTGTATGTGAGGCGTGATAAATTTGGAATGGTACAAATGCTATATTCTATGCTAAAGTTTATTTTATCTAGTTGTCTGAATTGTGACACCTTTGATAATCACTTCAAGTAAATCATTCCAGAAATACCGTAAAATAATATATTTTGTCTTTTTCACATACTCACTCACTTACATTTCTTTTTTTTTTCCAGACAAATGAAGTGTGTATGCTAGAAGATTGGATTCTTATCTGAGTGATTCTAGGAATATTAATACCTAATGGAAACAATAGATTTTGTGTGATTCTACAGTATATAGAAGATTCAACAATAATTATTCAGCCAATCATCAGGGACCTAATTTACGCTTGGATGTACTGGTTTACAGATAAAACTGAAGTTGCGATACGATATAATCCTATATTTTTTTCATAGTAAGGTGATATTATTTTATAGTTGCGAATAAATATTTGAACTCTATTGCACCTGCTGTCGAGAGAGCTGGTTTTCTTATTTTTATGTGGCTTTGGTACAGTTGATTTATACTCAGTAACCACAAGAACTTCAGCAGTAATTTGATCCGTAGACAGTTTGTCTGCCGAGTGTAGTCTTATTCTTTACTTGCTATTACATATTGGCCAGCTGTCAAAGAGGATATTACAATTGCGGGTCTACCTCGTATAGTGAAATTCAATTCAACGCTGGCTTCTTATTGAACTAAAATCACCCGCTTTAATTCAACCTCAAAAATGAATTTTTTGAGGCGTCGTTTTTCTGACCCTAATGCTGCAGCAAACATTCCGAATGGGTACCTGCAAGGTATTGGTGTGGATGACAACAGAGAAAGAGTTTTGCAGGCTGCTGGAGCCTCACCACAGACAATACGAAGGGACTTAGGTTTTTTAAGTTCATTAACTGGGAGAACAGAACCTAAAGGCAAAACAAAGACCCTTCTGGTTATAGATGACCCACATACAGACTGGTAAGTAAAGCCACTGTCAAATTTATTATTTTTGATGTTTGTATTATTCAAAAAGAATCATATGTACTACATGGCTATGAGAAATTAGATTATTCTTTATGCGTTACT